TCTGCTGGATAGATGGGACCAAAGTCTGCTGTGATGAGAGAAATCAGGTGGACTGAAGAGCTCACAACCTCTGTTATGGATGAACACTTAAAATTCTTTAAAATGGCGTGCAATACTACCCAGAATTTGCAGTCGAAGGAGAAAAAGGGAACCTATCTGAAGGGTATTCTGACATAGACAAAACATATTATTATACTGCAGACACCTGAAAGTGTATCTAAATTGAGTTTGATTTTGCAAAGGAAATTAAAATCCACGGTTAAAGAATTATTAGCTAGTGAAATAAAAAGATAAGGAATGGACTAGGAATATAGCGAGAAACTAGCTGAAATAGAATTATCTAGGTATGATGCAAAACTAAACTGAATGCTTGGTCTCATTTTTTTGAGGGTGACAATGCTCAACATGCCACAGAGAATGGCTGCCCAGTGCTAACAAAGGTACAATCAAAAAAAAGAGAAACACTCAAACAGTAAACTCGGATGTAATCTGCAATCTCCATGCTAGGATTCTGAAAGAAACAGCACATGGAATACACACTCAGCAGAAAAGATTTTCAAGAAATGTGTCAAAGTGAAGGAAGTAACATAGTAGACAAGAACTGCAATCTAAAAATATATTTTTCACCTTTCATAATATTAGGAAATACAGGTTCCTCATTCACTGTTTCCATGAACACAGATCACCAAAAGCATATATAGTGTCTATGAACATTTTTCTTTCTTGTTCCTCTCTGGAAAACTCACAGCAGTTTACATGTTTACCCTCTACTCCATGAAACCTGGAGAATTCTTTTCCTCTTCATGTACTTCTGTTAAGATTACTTTATTATTGCTTCAACTATCAGTAGTTAATATTCATTTCAAGTTGCTACTTGGCTACCTATCTGCATTATGTTTAATGGGATATTATTAGCTGTTAATTCAATCCAGATGTCTCATATTATACCGCAGACATTTTCATATAGAAGAACCATTTTTTTTTTAAAAAGTAGTTTTAACATTATGCAAAATTTAATACTATCTCAACAACTGTCAACCTGTCTCCTCTTTTTTCTTTTACCTACCATAATCTATTTCCATAACAGCAATATTCTGATTAATATAGTATCCAGATGTTCCTGTGCAGAATTAAGTTCACAAAGCCTTTACAATTAGAAAATAAATACATTAGATGCTGAAAGAGTAACAAAAAAAAAAAAAAAAAAAAAAGACCAAGGACTGTGTACCCTAACAAGCACATGCAGCTATATGCCCTGGATACCTGATGATTTCAAATCAACAGCTACCACTGAAGGAATTCATCCTTTCAAGTGAAACAATGAAACACATCTTAAAGGAAGTATCCTGCAGTTCTGGAGGCATTTGTATTAGAGCTCATCAGTGCAGCACACAATCCAGTATTTAGTTGCTCTTAAGTGTTATGCACATTATATCTGTAGAACTGGAATTAATGTTTTATATATCTATGGTTAGGCTTGGACTTTGAGAGGCATATCTGATAATTTGCAATAGTAACAGTATTTGGAAGCATTTGACAGTTATGAACTCTATTTAAAAAAAAAAAAAAAAAAAAAAAGTATCTGTCTAATTACATGCTTGAAATGTTCCTGAGGAAACAATCTGGTAAGTTACTGCTTTTACTTTGATGTTGAAAAATACCCCCCTGCGAATTGGTGTCCTTGTTGATTTCCATTTCCCAATTATATTTTGATCAATGATTTCTCTCCTTGATTCAAGTCTTGAAATCCTTCGTAATCAGCAGCACATTGTTCTTTTGCAATTTATCTTTAAGCCCCTACAAGTTGGCCCCAGAATGCTTTTATTTCCTCACCTTGGCTGCTGTAGTAACAGTTTAGGTCTGAATAAACATCAGATTTACTGAAGCTTCTTATAAGCAGATTGACATGGAACTGACATTGTCTGGAATGTATCTAATATGGAATGCAAACAAATCTATGTTCAAAAAAGGAAAACCAGGGTTTTCCCAGCTCTCTCTCTGTGCTGGCAGTATGTATGTGCAAGGGATGGTAGAGTAGTTGACTCATTTCACCAAACCTCAAAAAAGCCCTCTCTTGACAGTCTCTGAAAAATGGTTATTAATGAAAGAGAAAGCTGCAAATGTCCTTTTTAATGAATTAAACTGTTTTTTGTTTTTTTTTTTCAATCTCCTGAGCTTTTGTCATGACTTTACAATTGCTGGACTGATGAACGCATCCAAAAACAGCTGAATACACTTTAAGCCACATTAGTTTCAATACATATATATTGTTTAGGATAATGGGAGTTTCAATACAGGTGGAGGCAGGCTGTTATCCAATTGGCTGAAACTTCTTCACTTCAGAGGAGGAGGAAGGGTATCTGCTCTTTGCTACCGATAGCTTCAAGTGCAGCCAACAACGTAATTTCTGATACTTTGTGGTTATTTTGCCTTATCGAGTTGCACTTGCAAAGCAGAACTGGAAGACAGCACTGATAGAAATCTTCATACTAATACTGTCCATTTAAGTACTGTGTGCATTTAAGTACTGTGCAGTGACTTATGATTTTACAGACTTGGTACTTCCGCAGCACATTTACACATGCGCTTATTATGTATTATGTATATCTACAGTCTCTTCAGATCAAAGCATTTTCTTCTCATGCTTCAGAAAGAACTGCACGGGATGTAACATTTTCTTTTTTCAGTGACTGTACACATACATGTACACATCACAGAGGATTGTGAAAATACACACGCATAGTTACCTTCAGATGAGTGTGTGTTTGCAGAGATTGCAAATAAAGCTTTGCTACACTCCTCAACACACTTTCCCAAAATGAAAAACTTTGTAAGGGATGGATCAGTCATAATGACATCCCTTGGAGTTCAAACCCAAGACAACTGGATGTATGGAAGATTATGGAAGATTCAGATCTAACTGACGAACAGGTAGAAACAATAATACTCAAAACAAAACAGTATAACAACAAATGCACAACAATCCTAGTCACTGAGTTAAGATGGGATGAACAATGCAGGTATTAAACGAAGCTTAACTGATCTACAAAAAAAATCTGACGTCCTAACAAAAACTCTTAGGCTATGTTCACTGAAACAGGAACAGAACAGGAGACCTAACAGACTATCATTTCCAATCTGGTTTGAGATCACCTACCAGAATACTTGAAGTGTGAAGAAGGCAAACTTTAGCCAGTTGAATCTGCACTTTCATTTACCATTTCCAAAGACTGACTGCTCCCTTACAGAGAACATGAAAGCATTCACAATTCAACTAATGATACATACTACAATAACAGAGACGTTCACATAAGCGTTCTTGGCAGACATTTGCCTTTCCTGTTTGACCCTTCAAGTAACGTTTATAAAACTCCTTCTCCTGAGGGGTACCAAAGAAAGGCTTTAAAAGTCCCCAGCTGGCAGATGAACTACATCCTTTAAAATACGTGTTTGTGAGAATACATCACCAAAAATATTTTTTTGAGCAGAAATGTTTCCAGCTTGCACTACTCTCAAAACGTACAAAGTTTAAAAGAGCAGCAAGCAAAGATGTTGCTTTCATTGCCAAGGCAGGATGACATGAGAAGTGAACATCTGGAAGATGGTTTAACAACAACAGTCTACTCAAAAGTAACAAGTGACAGGCACGAAATGAAGGGAAGCAGACACATGAAACTTCCTTGAATACATGTGGTAGAAACCAAATATAATTCGAATAGGATTAGGAAACACCAAAGTGGATTAAGAAATACAAATGAAAATAAAAATGATACAGAATTGAAAACTAGCAAAGTGATAAAACTTTTTTTTCAGGCAGTTACAATGAAATTAGATGTTACTGGTGGCATCTTGCTTCATGTAGTTAGGTGCTGAACAGGACAAGCAGGCCAGCCTTTAGTGAAATCTCCAGCTAACCTAAATCATTATCTCATTTTTTATGCCTGGTGACATGTATGACAAACAAATTAGAATATATATATATATTTGACAATCATTCAAAAACAGCATCATTTAAGACTAATTTATTGGCAACGAATCAAAAATCATTATCGGTGAAGTGAACCATGTAACAGTGTTTCAGGATCTTCCTTCAGTATACAAATAATTTCCTAACTGACAATTGCAGTAAGGATGATATGCTTAAAAGATTCTGCACATTTTAATTCCTCCTGAACAAACTTATGCATTGCAACAGATTAAGAAAAGAGTCCATAAAAATTTCCATATTAGCCTGTAATGTATTTTATATTTAAAATAATCTGTTTATTTCTTTCTTCCAAACTGAAAAACCTTTCTCAGAAAATGTATCTGTGCTTTTATTACTTTTTTTTTTTTTTATCTTCAAAAAATTTACTGAAATTACAGATACTGCAATTCGGTGTTTATCTTTTATCACCTGAAATGGGATTCGTAGACTGAAAGTATTTGTGGTAAAATGCTGTATCTGACAAAATTCTGTTCCAAATTTTATAAATAAGGTGTTCTGAAGTGTTTTCTTGAACTACAGAATATACGCTAGGGTAAGTACACTGATTTTATCAGTTTTACAGACATCAGGCTGTTCAGTGTTCTGGTAGAACCTGGCAGAAATTCAGCAAGAGATTACCAGGATCACAACGTCATGTACTCTCTGTTCATACACTCCACTGGGTAAGGTCAAGGGCAGAGCTACGAGAGACTTGGGCTTGTAGCCACAAGATGATCATTAATGATGTGACAAGGTTTTTATCAATCAAATAAATATACATGAGTATGCTTAATAAGCAAAACATGTTTTTCTACAACATTCTAATCTGTCATTCTTGCTCTCCGTACAATAGGATTTAGCCTCCTCGAGTTGAATCGTGTGTCCCCTAGTAATCCAAAATCACCAATCAGTTAAACCTAGGTATGAGTTTTGGGACATAGTTGACATAAATAGTTCTGAATTCTCCCGAGAATGCACTGATATCGTGAACTATCTTAGAAATACATTTTAAATGAACAACTCAAAAACTTACCCGAATCATCATGACTGAGCATCTGATGTTGTGAATTGTATCATACACCTTCTTAGAAACATCCACAAACTGGTTATCATCAAACAGATGTACTGTGTTCTTGCTTAAGCTCTCCAATGCAATATTTACTTGACTAATGAACTCTGGAATCACTATCCAAAAAGAACACAAAATTCAGTGAGCATACGAAGGATAAAACCTTTAATCTTTCTTTCTGGCAAATTGCCAGTCACATTGATTAAAATGTTACTTAATAAGCATTATAGTAGTGACATGGCTGGTACTAAATAGGAGAACATTTGCTATTTTTATCACAGTGACAAAAATGTATTTTGTGTGCATGTAAGCTATGGGCAGTTATAAAGTATAACAAAGAACAAGAAAGTCTTAAAAAGGGGAAAGAGGCAACAATTGTAAAAACGTGCCACTGATTTCAACAGCAGTATTACCTGAGGAATCAGGTTATAGCCAAGGAAGCTTACCCTTGCTTTATTGATTCAAACAGAAATTGTAAATCTTTAGTCAACTTGATATTAACCCATGATTTATCCAGAATGTACTGGGATTTTTTTTTTCTGGTGTTACTGGCCGAATTTTGCTTTGCACACTGGTACCACTCTATCTCCCTTCATATTTCACATTAAGTCAAAACAAAGGACACCCAACACACAAAATACAATGAGTAAAGAGTGAAAGCAAGCACAAAATCCATCACAAACAGAAGGTCCTCAAAAAGTACATTTCAAACTCCTTTGCAACAAGACTTCCAATACTCCTTCCTATCACTGGGAGACTGAAGATAAGGAAGAAATGGAACAAGGCAGAAATCAACTTACGTTATATTCAATATGAGTAATATATACCTCATGAAACAGAATTATTTTCAGGCAGTGTATTGGCTTCTTGAGAGTATAATATGCTTTCTTTCCCTTCCAGCACAACCACAAGTTAATTCATAAATTTATGTCATGAGAAAGCAGCAAAAGCATTATCTTAAATGTAAAACATTTCAATAAAATTTTGAAGTATATTTTCAATTTTTATGCAAACAAATATCCAGATGGTCAAAAGGACCTCTGAATTACAAAACATGGCAACAGGTAATTTGAATATTAAGAAAAATGCCATGATAATGCTTTATCCTGACTTTACGTGGAGAATTTCAAACATAACATAGATAATAAAATTCACTCAAATTACAGTAATTACACTAGCTTCGAGTTGAGCTCTACTACCTCTAGAGTGCAGAACAGTTATTTCATGTGACTTCTCATTAATAACAAACTTCAGAGGTAGTGGGAAGTCCTTTTTTTTTCTGTAAAATAGGTTTCCACAGATGTTAAATAAGTAGATGTCTTTTCATTTGAAAAAAGGGATATTTAAAATCCTCTCTTTTCAGATTTTCCCTTGCGTTACTCTTGCCTTTTGGAAAGATCAGTGGGAAAAACATATTTCTCAAATGGTATGGAAAAAAAAGGTAGACTATGCATCAGCAACCAAATGTAACAATTAGGGAGAGTGAGTGCTTATTTATTTAGTTCTTTTTATTAACAATGTATTCTTCAGAGAAACCCAAATATTACGTAATTTCAGAATAAAAGATCTTTTTTTTGAGTTATACAAAGATCTTGGCTGCCCCTAACTGAGCAATTTTCAATGAAACAATCACCTCATACATTCACATGAAAACATACAGCTCTCGACATTCCTTGTAAAAAGGCTCTGAAGGAGAATGTAGGAAGTTGCAAGGAATTCAAGATTTCTACTGGTACGATCAAAACCGTCAGGTATTTTCCATGGTCTCCTACATCTTCACTTCTTACTTCGTTGTACTTGCTATAATTTTGCTATTGCAGTATTGCAAAAGCTCAGACTCCTTGCTTACCAACAGCATCTTCATGGGCTCCTAACTGTCTGCTGTCCTCCCACAGGACAGGCTATATTTCAGTAACCTACTGAGGTACCATCTTTGTTCTACATGCTTATTAATGGTCTTTTTACAAGGACAAATTCAATGTCTTAAGAGTACTTGCTTTGTGAATAAATGCATCATGTTTAAAAAGGATTTTACAGAAACATACCCTTTATATATGCTTTTGTGGAGTCAATCTAAACTTGATTACAAAACTAAGACCTGAGTGGATTCCCTTTGATAAGAAATGGGTATCTGCTTTTAAGACGGCTGCTTATCATCACCATCATTTGCACACATACATAATATGAAAAGAAGACGACCACTGCAATTCTAAAATAGGTACGTAACAATCTCTTAAGTAATTATAGTAACATTCTAGTGTTTCACTTGGGCTGTCACAAGGCTATCAAATAATTCACACTTTTTGAGAAAACATACCTACCATTAAAACTGTTAGACCAACTTTTTCCTTTTGTTATTTACATTTTAAACTTCCTTTAATTGAACTATTTATATTTCTACCCCACATGTTCTCTAAACCATGTTTTTTCCAACAGAACACAGAGTTTGACTCAACTTCTGGACCCCTTCAAAATATTCTTCATAGCCCATACAAAAAATCTGCTGATCCTTGACACTAATCCCATTTTAAAAACATGCCTACTGTATTAAAGTTTCCATTAATAAAACCACGCCTAATGATATAAAAGATACTAGTTGTATATAAAAGCAGTTACCACAGATCCAATTATCTAATATCCTCCCAACATTTAATCACTTTCTTCGCTCATTTACTCTTTCCACAAAACCACTTTTTTTTTTTCCAATAATGAGAAAAATTAACAGCATTTTAAACAACGTAAGAAGGACAGAGTCTCAAAAATAATGTTGTATCTCTTTATAAATTATCCTGGAAACCTGAATTCAGTTTTTAACTATACTCTTCCAAAGCAAACTTTAAGAACCTGATCTAATATCTACTTACACTGTCGGGAGCTCTTGCTTTTATTTCAAAGGTCTGGGAATACAGTGGGATGGATTTAGGTCCTTGATTAGACCACATATATTATAGTAGATTAGCTAACACCTTTTCTTAGATAAATGAACTATGCTGTCCATCACATGAATCTGAGATTCTACTTATGCTCTAAGAGTAAAAAATTATCATTTCCATTTCAGAGAAATATACTATTACTTCAATATTTGTAGTTAAAAACTGTAAGGAGCTGTTGTCTATGGGGGGAAAAAAAAAAAAAAGCTATTCTTTTAACAGGCAATAAATGACAAATTTTCAGCAGTCTTCTGATGTCCATATTTTAAGTAAGAAGGTTATACAAAGAAAAGAATTCTCACATACATTTAAATCCTGACATCAGGTTAAGTGCTACCAGTCAAGCAGCAAGGGCATAGGCATACCACAATACCTTCATGTTCAACTGTGGTAAAGGAAAAAAAAAAAAGTAGAAACAAAACTAAAAAGTAAAGAAGCAAAGACACGTTTATTCTTCTAATAGGCAAATATTTTTTGTCATGCAGGGTAATACACTAATTCTCCTCTGTCTACCTTTTAATTTTCCTCTATGCCTGTCAGTATAGCTTGATCTTTCTTTTGATTGGGTTCATCTAATCTTGATTAAAATTGAGAAACCCACAAAGTAAAAGCAATTAATCCTTGATCTCTACCCTTGTGAGGATACTTTCAATATTATATCCAGGTATCCACTAACAGTATGTTAGATTGAACTAGCCTCCAGGCTAGTTTATTTTTATCACTGGGAATAAAAATTCTTGCTCTAAAGATGCCCTTCATCTTTATCAACAAGTTAAGACGAGTCCTCCTGTGGCAGAATAATCAAGAGAGCTGTGGCAAGCAGTGTGTATCTTGAGTTTTTTATCATCCCCCATAATCTGATCACCTACCATAAAAGTCAGTGTGATGTGTATAGTTTGCTCTCAGAGGATTTAAATAGTTTTCCAATTGCAGGAATTCAACTAAATACAAAGGCATAATGGAAACCTGAGTGTAAGTGAAGTATGGTTGAAAAATGAGAAGTGGCTACCACTTGAATGTAGGGCATACAGAGTGAATAAGAAATCCCGCTAGTAACTACATGGTCTTTATTTGGTACTTCTTTATTTCATCTCACTCTTTGAGACCAAATAATAGTTTGCACTTCTTGTGATTTAAAAATAAGCATTTCCAACTTCTTCTGGAGTGGTATCTAAGAATTTCAGTTTGTAAGAACAGACTTATATATCCTGGTAACTCCGTTTTAATGGTATGCATTATATCTACTCTTTTTGAATCTGAAGTGACACGCTAGGCACTAATAAAATAAATTATCAAATATAACCATCCAATTCAAGGCAGCTGTGCTGGCCAGGGCACATCATTTGAAATACATGGGCTTATATTCTGACAGAAGCCTGAGTTGTAACACCCAACCCGTGCTATTTAAAATGGAATAAACTGTTGAATGAGTGAAGACACCTTCATTATATGTGTTCAAATACGCATTAAAATAATAATGCAATTACTCCAGACAATGATGATTTTGCACTCACCGCAAAGAGTTGAACTGAGTGACATTCTCTGTTGAAACTCCAACCATTCGTGACCATTAAAAAATCCACATAATACAATGCTAATATGACCAAGATTAAGCCTTTACTAAATTTTATTTCATTCTGGTACATACGCTTAATTTCAAAACTACTAATATTTCTTTGATACAATGCTGAATTAGTGACATTTAATTTTAACATTGTATCAAAGGACTTGCAGAGACATACATACACAGACATATAGTGTAAAAGTTTTGAATGTGTGCTTTTCATACCTCTGTGCTTCTTCAGATATTATTTTTCACATCTTTTTTTTTTTTTTTTTTTGGTAACAAGCTTATCATTTATAGCTAAAGGCATTAATAACATTTTTGGAATTTATGAAGATGTTAAGTATTTAACCCACGTTCCTCTGTCAATCTCAATCCTGGAACAATTTAACACGTAAAAGATTCCTGCATCATGACACTCGCCCCACCCCTCTCCCCCCCAGTTATTTACAGCATAAAGAATGATCACTGGGGTATTCATTTAGTATTTCACACTCAACTTTTTACATACTGTGAAGTGTAATAAAACAAGAAGTAGTCAAAGTAGAGGGCTGCTGCACACAAGAGGTTTGATACTGAAGCAGGATATAGTTAGTACTTGCTGCTGTTTAACCCAGAGAGA